AATTACAGTGGTCATTATCTATTCTATAGTGATACTGATAATGACCGAAGTCTCCTGCGAAGAAGGAGAACCTGAAAATCCGTTTGTTGGGTTCAGTTGTCGTATTTTCGATTTCGGTGCAGTTGTGATATGACCTGGGTTCAGTTGTCGTTTTGGGATTTAAGCTGATTGGTCACCCAATTAAGCTAATTGGGTGCCTGTTAACTGCGTGGGAACTAGATTTAATTGGGTTCAGTTGTCGGTCACCCTTTGAGAGTGGTTTGTTGATGAGGTATCCGTCGAATCTATAGCTCTTCAGCCAATAACATAACGTTAAAATAATCCGCTTCAAATTTGCGTACTTTTTGCTTAAACACATTGTGTTCGTTTTACTAATGTGAATCTGAACACCTATAATTAATGGACAATGCTACTAGCTTAGTCAGACCTATGTCTGGTGAGTTATATAAATTAAAAATGTTAGCCGATATAAATGTTAATATTTTCATCACTTTCCTTTTCTATTATAGTTATACTAAATTACAAATTAAGTTGAGTTACAAATTAGGATGATTTAGAAGATGTAACTACTAACTGCGAGTGTTAACATATATAAGATGATGTTGATCTTCACAGCTGTCTGTTTCTTGAGCTCTGTGCAGGCTAGCGCTAACGGTGAGTGAAAATTCAATAGGAATAAAATTTATTTCCATTTTCCTATTAATGCAGAAAAATGTACAGGCACATCTCTAAGAGATGCAGAAACAAATGTCATCTATTTTACGTGTTATTGATTTATGATTAATATGGACGATATTTTCAGAAACATTTTGGCAACATTTGGGCTGCTGGAAAGATGACCAAACTCGCGCAATCAAACGGCTGGAACCGGTTAATTTCATCGACGACCCTGTAAAAAATTGTCATGATTATGCAGCTGGCAAAGGGTACACAGTGTTTGGAGTCCAGGTACAGAAAGCGTGTTTCACTACTTCTGATGCCAGAGATACGTATAAGAAGTATGGGAAAGCTACCAACTGTAAGAACGGAGGTGGCGGAGGGTGGGCGTTAGATATGTACTGTATAATAGACAGACGGCTTAAACAGTGTTTGTACCGTCAACCTGTGCCAGGTATTATCATCTTCCTCCTTTATTTCCTTTATTTGTTTCAGGAACTACCACCCCCATACACCCCCCCCCACCACCAGTACCACCCCCATACACCTACCCCCGGCCCCCACCCACCATGCCACACCCATACCCGGACCCCTCCCCTCTCCTGGCGGTATTGTACCACTATGAGAGTCGACTGTCGAGACCTTAACTCAAATATTATCTACCTTATCATACCTTATTTGAACGGACATTAATTGAACGCTGGAAGCCCTAGCGTTCATTTTAATGTCCGTTCAATTGATGTCCATCCGTTTAACTTTAAGGTCCGTGGCCGTCCAAATTAAAGTCCGTTGAATTTTTTTTTCAAAAATTATTCCACTGCGAACGTATTTTCCAGGATATGACAACTTTTTAATATCAGTTTATTTCAATTTTTATCAATTATCAGTATCATCGGACTAAACTGTATCATTTGGATCTATGAAAAACAAGTTATTATAAAATTTGAATATTTCAACGGCCAGGTAAACGCTCAAAAATTTTTACAAAAATATTATTCTTTAAATAAATTCATTTTTTGATGACAAAAGTTTTGCTGCCATTCACATATTTGTAACTGCTTAACTTTTTTTGATAAATGAGGTTAACCGATTCTTACAAAATTAGGGTTACAACGTTGAGGTTACTAAAATTGAGGTTAAGATGTTATTTTACTCCAAGATTTTTTGTTATTTCGGTCAGCAAATGTTAACTCTGAATTCTAGGTTCATAATTGTCAGTAAAAACGCTATCTAAACGTTTATAAATGAGGTTAACCTCTTAATTTAGGTATAGCGAAAATAGATTAGACGATAGAGTTGTTATTTTTATCGTAAGATTACGACATACAAATTTCTAAATAGATGTAGTGCTGATTCACTTAATTTTATCTCGAGAAAGTGTTGAAAATGAGGTTAACCATCACACTTGGTACTTTAAGAATTATTTACATATGATTCTTACTTTTGTTATGTACCACAATATCACAGTGAGGTATCTATTTGTATTACAATGCCTCAAATATTATCACGTGACAAAGGTGATTTGGAATGACCATGTTTAAGTAGAAGAGTTCACCCGTAAATGGCTCAAAAATGAGGTTAACCTCTCATTTGTTGAATATCGGGCCAGTCAATCACATGTTGACCTCAAAAACTTTATCGTTACACTGGGCAAATGTTTTATTACATGTATAGCAATGTATTGATAAACCAATCCCAGTGTAATATGGTCTATAGCGAGGTTAACAATCTATTTTTACTACTATTACAAGATATCATGATAGTTAACCTCATTTTTAGACAAATTTTGGTTTATGATGTTGATTTTCCCAATATAAAGTATCTCAATGAAGATCTTTACACCTTAAAGCAAAAATTGTATGGAGACACTACTAAATACGGAAAATAATGCACAATTTGAGATTTTGGCAGTGAAATGAAAACACCAAAACTCGTTTTACTCGAAACGGTTTTTTTCATACCAAAATCCTTAACTTGAGAAGACTGGCCACACCCAGAAGCTGAAACTTGGCACAGGTGTTCTTTGGGGTGTTAGGCAAAAACGTTATGTTTTAGAATTTTGATTTTTGCCATTGTTCTTGAAATATGAGGTTAACTTTAACCCAAATTCGATTTTATTTATTTTTTACAGTTTCAGTTAAAGGTTTACATGTAATTACAGGTAAACCTCAATATTTGGCGCGCGATATCTCAAAAACGCAAGGTCAGATTTCGGTCCGGATTTTTTCTTCTTGTTCGTCTCCAGCAGCTCTGATCAAATATGTGAAATCTGGAAAAACGAATTTTACCCCCCCCCCCCCCCCCCCCTCTGGCCTTAACATTCAGCTAACGATCCTGAGTGGTCTATGCAGCCCCCCCACAGTCTACTCAGCCGAATACTCGAGAAATCGGGTGTGAGGGTTAAATGAGGAGCTGCACATTGCAGCAAAGTCTCGGGCGAAGAAAGTATGGTACACACTACCTTAACCGTCACTAGCCAAAACAAATCCTTCGGCTTCCTGTAATTGGCTGGTTGCACTTGTGTAACAATGTGGCTGTTGGAATACTCCGAAGTAAAATAAGTGTCTTGATAAAAAATATCATATTATGGCACTTCTGCACTTTCTTGATCTACGGTTCCTCGTTCATTTCTTCGGAGTTACTATTAATTTACTTCCACATCTTCTAGATCTCTTACAACTGGTTATTTATCCAACTCGTAATTATACCGGGTAATGAACGATATCAACTGCTCTACCAAACATACTAGAATGCCTGAAGTACAACTTGAGTTTTATCTCTAGCCCCCCAATGGCAATGGCCAATTGGCATAGGCTATAACCTTCGGTGGTTCATGTCAACGACGATACCTTCTAGCTTCTACCATACTATACCAACCATCAAAGGGAAAGAATAAATTCGGATTTTTAATGGTTTTGAAATCCTTAATCGAGCGTTCATTTTAATGTCCGTTCAACATTATGTCCGTTCACATAATGTTCGTTCAAAGAAGGTCCGATAAGGTACATTCATTTGTCACTAAAATATGACTTAGGAGTTACTTTCTCCTTTCGCTGGCTTCAATTTTCATGATTTTTACTGTCAAAACTTATTATCTAACCATCTCCACTTTTTCATCATCTCCGACTTTCACCTCTCCATAAACTCACTTTTACTGACGGTACATAATTCTTTATCGACATCTCAATTAGGATTTAGGAACCGTCCGGATATCCGGTTTCGGTCCGGTTAAAGGAGGTACTTGGCCGATAATCAACCGGAAATTTCAAGACTTTTCAGGACACATTTTATTTCTTGAAAATTTGATCTCGGGTACTCATGGGTAGCATTATATTTATACCTTACAGTATGATATCAAGGCCTGAATGAGCTATGATAAGTTACATTTCTTACACAGCACGAGCTGATTAATTGAAAGATTATAATATAAGCCCGGTATATCGAGGTACCCGGCCGTACAGAAAGGCACTGAGGCACGGTATACAGACTTTCTACTGTATCATATTTGAAAATGGGACATAAAATGAAGAATTTGGCGGATAGTAGAAACTAGAATTTGTATCAGGAAGCGCAGCATCTTTTGACTAGTATAGGAGTAAGACTTGAGATTTTATGTTTTAATTTGAATTGACATATCATATCCTTGTATAACGTTGAGTATTCTGCTAATGTTTCACTCGGTAGTTGCCCAAGATGATCAAACCGTGAATGATGAACAGAAAGCAGGATCGTTGTGAAAATCTTGAATTTTATTACATTCTTAATTTCTCTGCTGATTACATTTTTAAACAATGCCTTCAAACAAAACTTTACGGCCAAATATAACACCTCTAACTAAAAATAGGCTGACAAAGGGTTGTCCAACAAATCTGTTCATCTCCATTCTCCATTCTCAAGGGTCCGGTTTGGCATACTCATTGTGACGAGAATACTTAAACATATGGTCCTTGTACCTCAGATATTGACGACATTAGCAGGTCCTTAAATCCAATTCACATAGCTAGAGATAAGATTAACGGGAATAAGCAACAGGTGCGCCAGGAGCTTTTAAACAAAGTTCGAGATAGTTCTGAGTAGTATTTTTACTGAGCAGATGTTTCCCCACATCTGCAAAGAGCTTATTCGGTCTATTCAACAGTTTTCTCTGGCCTTTGAATGCGGATATAGAAATTTCTTATTTTAATTTTGATCATTTACATGGAGCAGTGTATTTCGATAAATTTCGAGTGCACTACCATTTTGTAGACCATTTCACGTTTGAATAATATCAGGACGACTCAGATTGTTTCTTAAGTTGAACGATCACGTTTCAGCAACTAACACAACCACCCCTTATAAGAAAGTCTCGAAACTACAGTATGAAGATGTTCATGGTACTCCTCCTTGTTGGTCTGGTGGCTGCTGACCCCCTCCCCGGTGGAACAGTGTGTGATGTCTGTAAAGCTGGTGTCAGTCAGCTCCAGGGTTTACTCTCTGACAGTCTTGTGGTAAGTATAAAAACTTGCTGCTACTTTTTGTCAGCAGCCATGTGAAGTGTGAAGGTCACTGTGAATTTGTGCTATATATACAGTATTGTCAGCTCAACACCATTTATCTTATCTTATTTAGTTTACCTTATCTTATTTATCTCAGAACAAAGTGAAGGGTGGAGTTTCTTTGGTCTGCTCCTTCCTCTTTTTCGATGAGGTAACTTCCAGCTTATTGTTTACTAAATTTACTTACTGATTCCCGCAGAGTCTTGCGACAAACAAGTAACCATTTTAGCATAGCATATAAACGCAGTGATCACTTGTTTCATTCTACTTGCAAGCAGAAATTGACAGCTTAACCTTTATTCAGTGTGCAGACAAAGTAAACGCAGTTATTGACTTTGTGGTAAACTACATCAAATCTATTGACGCTCACGAGCTGTGTTCCAAGATAGGCAACTGTGACGATGAGGACTTGCCTGAACCTGTTGTTGAGCTCGGTTAGTTTAGAGAGGAGTTCTAGTTATTTCCGAGAAAAGCCCAATAATCGTGTGGCTTTGGAGACATGTATATTTAAACGAATAGAGTATAGGAGCTTTGAGAGAAAGAACATTATTTTATATTTCTCGTTCATTATAATAACTGATAAGGACAATAAAACTTTCAGTTGGTGACGAGGAGAGTTGCAACAAATGCGTAGCTGAGTACGAGAAGATCATCAGTATCATCACAGAGAACCCACAAGTCAAGGTATATATATATAAATACAGCTCATAACTACTTCACAATTACTGTTACTCCAACTTGCAATGACTCAGGTATTGGTCACACATATCCGGAAATTATATACCTATTATATAATATTAATACTTTCAATTCTTTTCAGTCCACGATCAAGACAGTCCTAAGCGCCATCTGCTTCCTTCCCATCGACAATGTGAGAATATACATTTAAATTAGTACAAGGATTTAGTCATTTAACGTTAAGTTGATGGTCAGTTTGTCAAGTTTTGAGAGCTAAGATTAAACAATGAGGATACATTTCTTCATTAAGTGATCAATTAAATATTAATCCATTGCTTATATTTCAGTGTTCACAGCTGATTGAGGATGTTGTAGATGAAGCATTTGCCGAACTCGAGATGGGTTCTAAGGATCTCTGTGCTAAGATCGGACAGTGTTAAGAAGCTAAAAAACTGGTCGCATTTACGAAAACGAAAAGAAAGTTGGGCTTCAAAAGGGATCTGAATTAATTTTGTCAAAACTTAGAATCTATAGATATCTTTTCATTGCAAGTTTCCCATTTTATCTACTATACTGATTCGCTAAAATATTTGATATTCAAGATTTATAAATCTTCATTAATTCGTTAAAAATAGAAACAAAATAATCTTTCTTTTGTTCCCTTGATTTATCTCATCTGAGGACTGATTTTAACGAGATCAGTCAGCAGCTGTCAAAACCACCGAACAATCCATTCTGAACTGATAAGATTATATTGGCAGATTACTTAAATTCATCTCAGCTGATAATCAAATTACATACTATACTTGTGTCCCACTCACCGATCTATACCCACGATACAGTCATACAAATGTTTGGTCAGCAACCATTGTTCTGCCCCTCCTTGTTGAAGTGGTCTGAAATTAGTCTATCAGTTCTACTCACAAGACATAACTGATTATAATTATCCGATATATCCATCGTGTAATTTGATACCCATATATAATTGAAACAGTTAACACGACTAAATCAGGGAGCTCAATCATTTATTCATTATAATTATGATCGAACAGAAGTTTTTAGCTCGTCGTCGGTCACACTTCAAGACTTTGGCATCCTTTTCACACGGTACGCAATTTGCCGATTACAATTTTACCTGATAACTGATTTGATCACTAATTTTTGAAGCGCATGCAGCTGCAGGCGAGTTTAATTTGTAATTAATTTCACACTTTCGAGTTGCAGCCTCTCGCAGGTTCGCAGTTTATCAGTTCTGGTCCATAATACCTTAGTTTTAATTTTCTGTTACAGCAGTCATCGGATATGTTCCAACTTCCAACTCAAAAGTCGTAAATCCTAATTTCTATGGGTGAAGGTGTGTCCCATTTTTTCTAAATGTTAAATTTAGCTGTTGTCTCAAATAATCGAAATTTCTCGATGTTCAACAATTATCACAAAAGCTCATTCTTTCTGGAATTTTTGGGACCGTATCCAATTTTAATAACGTGAACTTAACAATAACACTTTCTATACTATGCTTAAAATTGTTTTATGTGCGGCAAATTTGGAGGAAAGGACACCTCGCGATTAAGCTGAACAATTCTCTAAATTTTCTTTTGGTACTCTCAGGTTGGATTATTCAACACCGTACTATATAACGTTGCATTACACGATTGTTCAGTTTAACAGATCAAATAAATTACATGGTAAATGTATTAAAGTTTAAACCGAGTTTCATGACAATTTAAAATGTAAAATTACCCTCGTAGGATTTGAAGCTTTTACAATCAGATGCATAATTAAGACATAGTATTCAATATTGTTATTTTACACCATTAGATTCCAACACTATGTGTGTATATTGTATAAGCTAAAATATAAAATGCCTGCCAATTTTATTATCTAAACGTAACTAAACGTTAGGTGACTCAATTTCTATCTGTTGGCGTTGCATTGATGGATTGCGGTTTATCTTGAGGAGTTATTCATTTGTCAAGATTCATCCATGAGCAAGTATTACTTTTAATAAAAATAATTTTCTGTATATGTCCATTTTCCTTATTTTAAAAGTGATACTTTCTTTCCGATGTTTTTGATGTTACGCCATGATCATAGTTATGGGCATGTTGATCTTTTCTTATCTTACACAACAGCACCAGTGCAAAAATCTGATAGAACGAACATCGGCTGATGGTGCTGAAAAGTGCAGTATTAGGTCGATAATGCGATTCCCCACACACCGCATTTATATGTTGCAGCTATGTTCTCTACCAGTCGTTTCTACTTCTACTGCGTGTGCACTGTGCTCATTGTTAGGAAGTTATACGGACTAAGAAGTAGAAGCTACAATAAAATTGAAGAGTCTCAATGTTCAAGTATGATACTCAAATACCCAAATGAGGAACTATAATCTAAAGACGTACAGTCTATGCCTACATTAATCTCACTGCTTTCTTAGAACTTTCCAGTAAATATATTATAGAGCTGAGACTTGAGTAGATTAATACTATCCGGGTGGCGCATTACGTCAATTCTTTAATGAATTGACAATAGTTCAATTTTCCTTGCTTCAAATCTTTGCTTAAGATTTTGTAAGGGTGTGTTTATCTTTTTATATTGTGTTGTTTGGCTCCCGGCTCTCATAAGCGGTTTATTGAGTTCGTTAGTTCTCTAAGTTAAACTTAGCTAGACAGTTAGATAGATGCATTCAAAAGAGGATGTAGATCCTACTTTAAGTCCGGCTTTGAGCCGACCCGGCTTAAATGCAATTGAATCTTCAGTTGCCACCAAGGTCGACAACTATGATCAAACAGGTTTGTTCATTAAATGACAGACAAATTTATGAATGCAACTTCCTGATAATCGGATTCCAATACTGTACCTATATTTGGTCAAGATTCTGAACAACTAGAATGAGCGAGGAAAAGGTCAGATATTTACTTAAAACACTTTTTATAAAGATTCAGGATATGATCGAGGCAAATCAACATGATTTAAAAATCAACAATAATTTCCGCTTTAACGATACCATTTAAGGAAATGTTGAATTAATCTGCAAAGTAGTGGTTCGGATGATGGCTGCAGGCTGGTTAATGCTGAACTTACTTGCAGTAGTCAATGTACACTTTGTACAGTTGAGCTTTTAAAAATGTCGTTTTCATACATAAAAAAGCAGAAAAAAACATCGCGAGTATCCTAGTACCCTAAAACCCTAAAACTTACTATTCTGATTTTATTTGCCTATCATCAGTTACCACGTTTAGTGTCTCCCAACTTGTCTGCTCTTTATTGTGACGACTAAACACCCAAGTGGTGAGTTTTGGAGAACAGGAAAGTTCGCCGAAACTTCTCACTACCCTCTTTATCTAAATCAATATAAACATCAGCAAGAACCATTTCTAGGCGTATTGCTTCAGCTGACGTCATTTTCATACTAATAGTACGTTCGTACCACTTGACAAGCCTTTAACGGTGTTGAGTTTCATTCTCTTATCAGTCGAGAGAGTGTTGTAAGCATTCTGACACATTTTTAGTTTCTCACACGGTTTGCTGTCACGGTTGTGTGTGTGATGAGTATAAAGAGTAGTGGATCAGTCAAGCTCGCTTCACCAGGTACGGTTATATTTCCATCACGCCTCACATTTCTTGGCTCCTATTTAGCTGCCCATGATCCTTGTCAGATGTCAAAAAGAGGAGAATTTTTGGGATTTTTGTCTCGCGAGTTTTTTCTTAGCGTCATTAAGAGGCCTTACATTTTCTATATCTGCCGTACAATTTATGTCAAGCACGTTGTTATAGCAATTATTTAAACAAATTTATGAACCTTGTTCGTAATTTCGGGCTCTGATTACGTGTATTTCAGACTATTAGACAGGAATACTGTACAAATACTGTACAAGTACTCCATGGCTTCCACCGAGCTATATTAGTGCTGCAGCAGCAGCTATGGTGGATGTTAAAGAAAATTGTAAAACTTTGTTCTTTCGCTCAGTTATAGTTGGTTGCTTCCCTTAGATCATAGCCGCGAGGAGAAGTTGTCTCTTTTCTTCGTTTCAGATAGCAAAACTAGTCTAGTTAAACTTTGAATCTATATGGATGGAGTAGAAACAGATCACTCAACGAAACGTGATTCAAAATTTAACATTTCCAATAGATTTCGTCATGAATGAAGTCCCCAAATTAGGTACAATTTCTTCCTTTTTTTCCATGACAAGAACTCTAATAAATCTTGATTTGTTTTTACTGTCTGGAAATAAGACACAGTATTTTGTGAATCCCACACTGTCTAGAACTAGAAGTCTTGGATTTGAACCTTGAAATAAAATGTCCTTTACTATTTATTTAAATCACATTTCTTCAATTATAGTGCTTACTACAATGGTTTTATCGTGGTGTCATCATTGTGTTACTATGATGTTACCATGGTATTAACATGGTGCTATCATGGTGTGAGCATGGTGTTACCATGGTGTTATCATGGTGTTAACGTGGTGAAACCATGGTGTTACCATGGTGCTATCATGGTGTTAACATGGTGTTAACATGGTGCTATCATGGTGTTATCATGGTGTTACCATGGTGTTACCATGGTGCAATCATGGTGTTAACGTGGTGCTATCATGGTGTTAACATGATGTTAACGGGTTGCTAATTTAATCGTCTATCCTGATCTCATTTCAGGTTCATTTATTTTGAAAGCTGATATAGAAGGACAGTTATCCTGTACCGTATCAGCAAGAGATGGTCTTTCTATTAAAGATGTGTTGTGGGTAAGCGGCATTTTAGATTACAGTAACAAAAGAGATTATGATAAGGATAAATTTATCGGTTCTTAGGTTAACTTTTCGAATTGATCAATGATGATTATGCCAAATGAATATGCCAAATTGACTGCATCTCCAACTTCTATTGTTTTCGATATCTACGATTCTACAGTTTAAATCTGTAATTAATTAATTCGTAAGACGAATGCGTTCCTTGAGACTGATCATTCATTAATAATCAATGGCAGGAAAAATTGGAGAACACAGGAGGGAGGATGTGGGAGAATTTCCTTGTGTTTACGAAGTGGACGAGAATCCACATAGAGTGGGAGATGAACGTAAGCTGCGTGAGGGGTCACGCGTTACAGATAGTCAACAAACTTGACATCTTGCCTATAGCTCTCCCGGGTGCTCACCACTTTATGAGGAAGGATGTGGTACGGACATAGGATCTTCAATTTAGACAACACTCATTTGTTCTTACTTCTTACTGTAAAATATTAAATAAGTACATGTTGCGTAGTTAGGTCTCGTGTATTGAATATACTCAAACTAACATTCAACGTAGGATTAGTCAGAGGTATGATCATTCAATTCAGTGACAGAACTATTAGTCAACCTAAATGTGAGCATGTAAGGTGCTGATGAAATTACGTAACTGTACCGTAAATAGGTCTTGACTAATGGCCATGTACTCAAACTAAAGTTTAAGGAATGTTCATTGTCATTCAGGAAACTAGGGTATTTGATAATTACAGACTCCGACCTAGATGACTAAGATAAGTAGACTCCTAACTTACAGACTCCTAACTTACAGACTCGTATCTCTTATCACTATTTATTAAACCTGAAATTTTCCCACAGATTCACACAGCGGCTGCTCCTTACTGTGAAAAAGATTTCTACTACATGATAAGACCGAGTGGGAGTGCCAAAAATACTGGCAGCTTTGCTCTCGTCATAACGTAAGAGGCATATTAAGAAACTGAGGAAGCCCCTGTAGTATTCATTCGTAAACTTTTAAATTCTCTTTCGGTAATCGGTGACCTCGCGATATTGTATACTCTCGGGTACTCATCTGTGCTCCTGCAAGATTATACAGCATATATGCATATATATAATATATATATTGTGGAATCTTATAAGTTCACAGAAGAAAGGTGGCGTGTTTCCTCGACTGTAAGTTCAAAGGAGCAACATAACAGCCACACCAGAGGTTGCAAAAGTCAATTAATGGGGTGTTTTCCTTTCAGGACACCGTCATTCCCCAACGGCAGGTCATGCCTCCGACATGTTACTATTGGCTTTGACAGGGAAACCAACAAATTCCTCCTATGTTCCAAGGAGTTTGACAGTTTGGACCTATTGGTGGCCTTCTTCAAAGTAAGAAATAGTAATCACAACTGGATTTCATTATTGTTTACAGTTTACACACTCAAACGATAGAACAAATCCGTCCCACGACATACAGCTACTTTTATTTGAATTATCACCATCGGCTCACTAGCTGTCTCACACAAACATACCCTACAAACGCTGCCGAGTCTCCAGGACTCCAGACTCTAAAGTATTCATCTTCCTCAAATCATGTTTCTCCCAGACGACGCCGATAAAAGCTCACAACGGTCCGAATATGTATTTGAGGTACCCTGTGCCAGTTGACGCTCAGCTTGACGAGGAATGTAAACAATCCTGGAGGACAACAAGGACAGGTTGGAAAAGATACTGTTTTAACAATTTGATAACCGTCTTTGTAATTTTTACAAGGTGTACTGCAGTTCAAAGGTGGCAGTTGGTAGTCCTTATTTATTCGAATTGAAATTTCGAATGTCTACGCCCTTTCACAGTGTGCGCCTATCAATTTTGATGCATGTGGATCTTTTGCGAACTTTCCTCCTCAAATATGAAATATCGGACCATTTGTAATTCAGACAAGATAACAAACACACTGATATTAACCATTATCGCAGGTAAGCAGTCAGATCACCCGGATATTGACACTATATCCTTGTGGAGCTACTCCTCCTCCCTTACTGTCAACTCTATCAACACTCCAAGTGAGTAGGAACAATCCTCAGATTTACAGATTTCGTGGACGGAAAATCCAATCTTATTATTACAGATTTTCTGCTCATTTAATTATTGGTGGTTTATACTTAATAAAGTTATAAGCACTCATTGTGATGAATTTAGGCAATGAATCTAGAGTATAGAGGGTAGTGGTCAGAACTCTAAAAGCTAATGCCTTTACATATATCCAAATAGTATATACCAAGAAGTAGACGAGATTTAAGAGTTTCCTGCCTTTTTCGTTCCATAGACTCATTGAAATCATATAAACGTCTCTCAGCTCCTTAAGTTAGCCGATATACTCAACAGTAAACATAGAGGCAATATTTTACCCCCACCCTAAAATATAGACAACTACTTTTTACAGCCTGACTCTCAAGACCAGTGATAATTACTTTCACATGATTTAAAACTGTACCGACACATTCAAAGTCTAAAAATACTCTGATTTCACCATATCACTACTACGTCAAGAGTTCTCAGAAATATCAAATTTCTCTTCCACCTGTATGAAAGACAATTTTATCAACGTGACTATTGTTCCTGAGTTCGAGAATGTACTTGGCACAGATAATCATGATATTAGAACTCTAATCTCCCAATAAAACATGGTCACTGCGGAGTGATAAGACATGTTTGATGATAACAACATTAAGACATTAAACTTTCAGTGTCATACGATTACGATGGCAGTGTGAGCGGTTTGAGTGAAGATGAACAAAATTACGACGTGCCTAATCATTTTTACAGGAAAGACAAAACAAGGGGATCAACTATGCTAAGCAGAGGTTGGTTTCAATAATTTCCAGTTTGAACAGGAATATTCCTCTAAATACAATGAAGAGATAATACGTTTTATTGTATCTTAACACCCAAAAATAACCTCTTATTCGCAGAAGAAAGCGTGATGTCGCCCATGTCTGACGGATCACACAGTCATATCTACAGTAGTGATGTGGTGAGTGGGGCATATTACTATCGTGATACAATTAGATCTTTGATAAAAATTCTAACTATCTTCAAATTTGTATTAATGTAGATCACCAAAATGAATGGTACGATGGTTGAATTTCTCCCTCTCAGGAAATGAGGGCACAAAGTGGAAGCAGTTCAGGAGGATCTTTCAGCAGCACATCCAAAGCCAGCTACAACAACACCCCCAGAAGCCTAAACACCAGATCTCAGTTCTTCTTCCCCGTCACCAGAGAGGTCAAGTCAGAGATCGAAAAAGAACGTCCCCGATCTGAGATCCTGAGAGAAGATTCCTCTGATTCTCAGAGAGAAAATCTCAGGGCGAGCAGCATGCCACCTTTCACTTCCTTATCGGTAGATTTATCTTGTTTGTTTGTATGAAAACTTTGATTGATGTATGGAACGCATGTGCATGTAGTGTTGTGGTTGTCTGTGAAACATTTTGAATTTGGAGTTGTTAGAGATAGGATCGATATAATATATACTCACACCCACTTAACCTCTTCAGATCAACAGATCAATATCCGAGAAATCCCTATCTGACGTGGAGAAGAGTAAAAAAGACGCTCCAGAAGAACTTTACGTAGAAATGAGTCCCTCTGTACCTCCAACTCCGTCAAACCCAGCCCGATTTACCCATCCAGAACCACTTGCAGTCGAAACTCTTAAACGTCATCCGATGTATCAAAGTCGTTCAGGGTCAGATCAGGATAGTGATCCCAAAACCCTCACCAGAGTGGAAGAACCAGAGAGTTGCTACATGAACATATCAATAGCTAACAAATCAGCTTCTTCTTCCAATCAGGATGAGCCAGTAGAAACTTATGTGGATATGTCCACATTGAGGCCCCTGAAGCCACCACCACAGGATCTTCTCCTGTCTTTACAATCACAATCACATCATGACTATGTCAACAGACAGGGAATTCAGAATGGTTTTTCTCCTTCCTCCTCTGGGAGTGAATATCAACATTTTGATCCTGTCACATCCCAAAAACTCATTGACAATGTTCAAAGTTTAATGGCGACCGTAAAGGAACAAGCTAAGGAAATCTTGAATCTCAAAATGTCAGTTAAGGATTTGAAAATAAAAGTGGAGACCTTGGAGCAACTGAACATAGAAGAGTTCGAATATGATCAATGATGAATAATCTTAATCTGGCAATATAGGAAATAGGACTCGCGTTAGGTACTACTACTAGAACTTTGTTGATGTATATTTCGTTTGTGATATTTTTTGTATGATTTTTGATGCTGATCTGGATCAATCAGAGCTGATGTATCTTGTTTTTTGTAGCAATGAGTTTTGTGATTTTATCTTTCGAAAATAGTTAGAGCACCAGCTACGATGATTGGATAAGTTTTACAATACGGACCAGCTCGTGCGAATAAATTTACAATGCAGGGCACTGTTTTGTTAGGTGGCAGTAATAGTTTAATTGTTATAACTAAAAGCTGAGATCTTTGTTCATTTTGCAGTAAATGATACCAAACTTTTGTTTTTATTGTAGATGACAGCATTGTCTGAAAAGTTATGACCATTATATGTACCTCTAATAGTTAAGTCTCTGTAAACCCTTACAGCAGGCAATTATCAAAACCAATCATTAAAAGCTGAGGCAATTATCAATACCAATCATTAAAAGCTGCCCTCAAAAAGCAACGTCCAGTAGTCGAATCTGAAAAGAAAAAGATGTGGTGCTTTTTCAAACTAGCGCTGCTCGTTGTGCCCGTTCTTTGTGGTGGTTCTGAAGATGAAGATATCCTGGCAAGAAAGAGCTCTGTATCTGATGCTGATCTTCATCAGGAATTGCCGGACTCTTTCCACTCAGACTCTGAATGGGATGATTTCCCAACATTCCAGCCCGTCACATTCTACCCACCCACAGACAAGGACAGCAGCAGTGAAAGTGAAAGTGAAAGTAGCGATGAAAGCGACTCGGATGATGAGCAAATTCGTGATGGTGAGGTCTGTGAAATACCTAAAATAGAAAACGGTTACTTCGTGGACACGACGAGACCAATAAAAGTGGGAGCATCGCGACAGATAAGGTGCAACGCTGGTTACTGTCTCACCGACCCAAATGATTCCGACCTACCAGCCGAGGTGACGACTTTCAACTGCACGGAGAAGATGGCTCAAGGTGATACTTACTGTGGGTTGCCAGTGTGTGTAGAAGATGTGTGCCATAACGAGGGTGTACTCTGTGAGGACGGTAAAGAGTTGTGCAATCAGAATAAGGTTACTATAGTGAAAGGGTTCCTGAAGGAAGGACACGCAGCTATGCAGATAAACTGGTTCTCAAAATATGAGGAGAGGGCTGAAAGATACCTGAAGACTACTGAAGGTTACGAAGGAGCAGAGGTTCTGAAGTTCACAGGGGTTGGGCTGTGCAACAGACATCTAGCCACCGGCTACTTTAACTATTGGCGGAACTACTTGAGACTGAAATATTACGGCGGGTGGGTGGGGTGTGCTGTGTCCCCTGACTATAAGAATATCGTCGCTTGTATTGTTCGTCCGAAATAAATAATGAACTGGTCGTTACAGCCTGATCATGAACTGTTTAATGAATTGATCCCATTTTCATTAAGAATTTGCAGTTACTCAGTTAATTGTGTTACATGGTAATTTTGCGTATAAAAACCGAGATGGGAGTTTTATTTTAATCGTGACAGATATGTGCTATAAACAATAAACATAAAAATTAACCCCACCTAAAGAATAACAAAATCATGTATTTTTACAGCGATGGTTCCGAAGCATTAATTACAACCATAATTCAACGGTCATCTTGGCCTCAAAGATTACCTATCCTATCTATAATAATGAAGACTAATAAACTGAAACTAAACAATTAAACACGTACCAAAGTTCGACAGGGGTGAATCACTCTAAACTCTTATGTAGAGTGATTCACCCCTGTCGAACTTCGGTACGTGTCGAACTAGAGTCCAGGTTGAGGCCGTAGCGTACGTCGTACGACAGACTACAAGACTTACACGTTTACTAACCTACACGTTTACTAACCTACACAGTGAGCATACTGCAGGGCCCAATTCTAATCGTCACTATACTGCACCTCAATCGTGTCATTTGCCATCTATAGTTGACTTACTAACTGGTTGCGGGTAAAAAAATCAGTCAAAACTGTAAAATTTCGGTCCTGGAAATTTCATCTTCAAAAACTGAAAATGGGACAGAGATTGGGACAATATGATTTTGCAATTTTATTCGGAATTTTGACTCCCAGTACCTCAATTTGGTTTCATACCATCATCAATTAACTGAATAATTGGTTTCTGGGCAAAAACTTCATCCAATCTGTCAAATTTGTGTTCAGAAAATTTCATATTTGAAAATGGGACAGACTTTTGAAAATACAACTTTTCGTTTTGTTAAGCTTTCTACTGTGGGCTTCCTCCGACCGAAATCAAAGTTCCAGCACCTCAATCGTGTCATATGCCATCTATAGTTGACTTACTAATTGGTTGCGGGTGAAAAAATCTGTCAAAACTGTAAAATTTCGGTCCTGGAAATTTCATCTTCAGAAACCTAAAATGGGACAGAGATTGGGACAATATGATTTTGCAATTTTATTCGGGATTTTGACTCCCAGTACCTCAATTTGGTTTCATACCATCATCAATTAACTGACTAATTGGTTTCTGGGCAAAAACTTCATCCAATCTGTCAAATTTGTGTTCAGAAAATTTCATATTTGAAAATGGGACAGACTTTTGAAAATACAACTTTTCGTTTTGTTAAGCTTTCTACTGTGGGCTTCCTCCGACCGAAATCAAAGTTCCAGCACCTCAATCGTGTCATATGCCATCTATAGTTGACTTACTAATTGGTTGCGAGTGAAAAAATCAGTCAAAACTGTAAAATGTCGGTCCTGGAAATTTCATCTTCAGAAACCGAAAATGGGACAGAGATTGGGACAATATGATTTTGCAATTTTATTCGGAATTTTGACTCCCAGTACCTCAATTTGGTTTCATACCATCATCAATTAACTGACTAATTGGTTTCTGGGCAAAAACTTCATCCAATCTGTCAAATTTGTGTTCAGAAAATTTCATATTTGAAAATGGGACAGACTTTTGAAAATACAACTTTTCGTTTTGTTAAGCTTTCTGCTGTGGGCTTCCTCCGACCGAAATCAAAGTTCCAGCACCTCAATCGTGTCATATGCTATTTATAGTTGACTTACTAACTAGTTGCGTGTGAAAAAATCAGTCAAAACTGTAAAATTTCGGTCCTGGAAATTTCATCTTCAAAAACTGAAAATGGGACAGAGATTGGGACAATATGATTTTGCAATTTTATTCGGAATTTTGACTCCCAGTACCTCAATTTGGTTTCATACCATCATCAATTAACTGACTAATTGGTTTCTGGGCAAAAACTTCATCCAATCTGTCAAATTTGTGTTCAGAAAATTTCATATTTGAAAATGGGACAAACGTTTGAAAATACAACTTTTCGTTTTGTTAAGCTTTCTGATTTGGCAATTTTATTCGGGATTTTGACTCCCAGTACCTCAATTTGGTTTCATACCATCATCAATTAACTGACTAATTGGTTTCTGGGCAAAAACTTCATCCAATCTGTCAAATTTGTGTTCAGAAAATTTCATATTTGAAAATGGGACAGACTTTTGAAAATACAACTTTTCGTTTTGTTAAGCTTTCTGCTGTGGGCTTCCTCCGACCGAAATCAAAGTTCCAGCACCTCAATCGTGTCATATGCTATTTATAGTTGACTTACTAACTAGTTGCGTGTGAAAAAATCAGTCAAAACTGTAAAATTTCGGTCCTAGAAATTTCATCTTCAAAAACTGAAAATGGGACAGAGATTGGGACAATATGATTTTGCAATTTTATTCGGAATTTTGACTCCCAGTACCTCAATTTGGTTTCATACCATCATCAATTAACTGACTAATTGGTTTCTGGGCAAAAACTTCATCCAATCTGTCAAATTTGTGTTCAGAAAATTTCATATTTGAAAATGGGACAGACTTTTGAAAATACAACTTTTCGTTTTGTTAAGCTTTCTGCTGTGGGCTTCCTCCGACCGAAATCAAAGTTCCAGCACCTCAATCGTGTCATATGCCATTTATAGTTGACTTACTAATGGGTTGCGGGTGAAAAAATCAGTCAAAACTGTAAAATTTCGGTCCTGGAAATTTCATCTTCAAAAACCAAAAATGGGACAGAGATTGGGACAATATGATTTTGCAATTTTATTCGGGATTTTGACTCCTAGTACCTCAATTTGGTTTCATACCATCATCAATTAACTGACTAATTGGTTTCTGGGCAAAAACTTCATCCAATCTGTCAAATTTGTGTTCAGAAAATTTCATATTTGAAAATGGGACAAACGTTTGAAAATACAACTTTTCGTTTTGTTAAGCTTTCTGATTTGGCAATTTTATTCGGGATTTTGACTCCCAGTACCTCAATTTGGTTTCATACCATCATCAATTAACTGACTAATTGGTTTCTGGGCAAAAACTTCATCCAATCTGTCAAATTTGTGTTCAGAAAATTTCATATTTGAAAATGGGACAGACTTTTGAAAATACAACTTTTCGTTTTGTTAAGCTTTCTGCTGTGGGCTTCCTCCGACCGAAATCAAAGTTCCAGCACCTCAATCGTGTCATATGCCATTTATAGTTGACTTACTAATTGGTTGCGGGTGAAAAAATCAGTCAAAACTGTAAAATTTCGGTCCTGGAAATTTCATCTTCAAAAACCAAAAATGGGACAGAGATTGGGACAATATGATTTTGCAATTTTATTCGGGATTTTGACTCCTAGTACCGATCAATTTGGTTTCATACCATCATCAATTAACTGACTAATTGGTTTCTGGGCAAAAACTTCATCCAATCTGTCAAATTTGTGTTCAGAAAATTTCATATTTGAAAATGGGACAAACGTTTGAAAATACAACTTTTCGTTTTGTTAAGCTTTCTGATTTGGCAATTTTATTCGGGATTTTGACTCCCAGTACCTCAATTTGGTTTCATACCATCATCAATTAACTGACTAATTGGTTTCTGGGCAAAAACTTCATCCAATCTGTCAAATTTATGTTCAGAAAATTTCATATTTGAAAATGGGACAGACTTTTGAAAATACAACTTTTCATTTTGTTAAGCTTTCTGCTGTGGGCTTCCTCCGACCGAAATCAAAGTTCCAGCACCTCAATCGTGTCATATGCCATTTATAGTTGACTTACTAATTGGTTGCGGATGAAAAAATCTATTTAAACTGTAAAATTTCGGTCCTGGAAATTTCATCTTCAAAAACCGAAAATGGGACAGAGATTGGGACAATATGATTTTGCAATTTTATTCGGGATTTTAACTCCCAGTACCTCAATTTGGTTTCATACCATCATCAATTAACTGACTTATTGGTTTCTGGGCAAAAACTTCATCCAATCTGTCATATTTGTGTTCAGAAAATTTCATATTTGAAAATGGGACAGACTTTTTTAAATACAACTTTTCGTTTTGTTAAGCTTTCTGCTGTGGGCTTCCGCCTTCCTCTGCAACCGAAATCAAACTTCCAGCACCGTCTACAGTCTATAATTTATCTATTCGGCGTATACTGCTGCTTTCACATCAACAATGGAGTTACATCAGGTGGGACTTTTTTATGTTCACATCATCTTCAGGAGTCGACAAAGGTAAAATATGCTATAAATTATAGACTAGAGGATCCTCTTGCTTCTGGAAACACAGGAATGAGGAAAGCGAAGATAATGTCATTTTCCCATTAACATAATTATTCCGAGACTTTTCGTCCCCAATTCTAATTTAGAAGATAAATTCACTGTGTAAATCTTATAAAGATCTGGTTAAACTCGTTTTCTAGACTGGCTCCTTTTATGTCTCTATGTAAGTGTAGTGTGGGAATTTTAGCATTTCCACTGCTGCAAATTGCAAAAACTTTATGCACCGGATTTTCTGCACAAACTTGATCTATAATAGTATAATAGGGTATAGGGTCACTAGACACTAACCCAATGTCCTTGAGAAAAGGCTGTAGAGCCTTTTAAAGTTTGATACCTGGAATCGCGATGTACCCCTTATCTCAATTCAGTTTTAGAGTTGAGACCCAATAGGAGATGCAAAATTACCGCAAAAGTCACATCATGGTAGGCCAACGATGGTTTGGAAATGCTTTGAATATCATGAAACGAGATATTTCAATTTTTCCGAAACACTCGTTATTTTGTGTGCCAAATTTTACCAACTTGGTATTACAGACTTTTAAATAAGTGTAAATAATGACTTACAACTAGCACTTTGAGTTACGGGGGACCCTGCAAATCAAGTCTGTGTAAAAAATCCGATGGCATAATGTTGTGTACTGATGAGAACTTAATTCTGTTAAAATTCCCATAGTTCTGAGGTCTGGCCTTGTTTCACAGTAACTTAGTTGTTTGTCATTAGTACCGTCGCGTTTTGCGTTGCTATTCGTTTATTACATGTCAATTTGTTCGTTCGTACCGTACGTTTGTTTTTTTATAATATGCGCGGTGAATAAATCTAGTGATGTGTTGATGCGCGTTCCATACATGACATCAGAAATTCTACCTCTGAAACATCTGATCACTGGCGTGACACTCATGACAGAGCCACCAAAATAAAAACTCAACTCTTAATAGAGTTACCCAGTCTTGAGCCTAGATCATAAATCACGCCGGACAGACAGATCAGAGAGCGAAATGGTAATTCTGTTTCTGGTCTGGAATAACAAGTACCTTACGAGACATATTTGAGAAAATTAAATACAAAAATCTTCTCTGATCAGCTGTTTCATCTTGTTAAAAATTTCTCTGGAGCCTTTGAAAGTTAGCCTCAACTTAACTTATAATCCTCCAGAGGGTATAGGAGACCGACAGTGTTTATTATCTTCCACTACTCCCGAAATTTCACCGCCGTAATTAAGGAAAATACGTGAAAAATAACGATGGTGACCTAAATTTTGGTAGTCCGTAAATATGGTGTTTTTTTCTTCGAAAAACCACCGACTTTCCGCGACTTTCGTACCATTTAAATATGTCTCGTAAGGTACATACAAACGTAGAAGCAAACAACTATGAATTATGACTTTCAAACTATATACCTTAGTGACACATTGACCCTACGATATCGATTTTGAGTTGTTTGTTAGTCAACAACAATTAATACATATACATAATAGCATGATGGGTGGTTTTATATAGATTTGTTGACACAATAATATAAGATGTTACTGGCCGTACAAATAACCTATTGACTAAACAATCGAGATATAAATGGTTTTGAGTTATATTAAGTATAATCTTTTCTGAATGTTAATTATGCGTGGAATGTACAGCTAAATGACGCATTATCTGTGCCATACATGGGACACTAAATTTAAACCAGTAATTTCTTTCAACACTTCTGACTTATCCTACCGGCTCGTATTTCAAAATAAATATCTTCCAATTAAGCTCATCAAAACACCGAACAAAGCTAGGAACCGCCCGGTTATCCGGCTTCAATATCCGGTTCCGGTCCGGTTTCAAAACATTTTGCCGGATCTACTGCTAGGCCTAAACAGCAAACATCATCGGTGTGGTTGTATTGCTCTTAGGAATGCGGAACTTATTAATTCAAATTTTCCGGCAAGATCCGGCACATTCCGGCAAGTTCCAGCAGCCTTATATTTGCCCTTCCTAACAACCGGTTCCGGTCCGGCAAAAATCCGGTCCGGCAGCCAAAAGCCCATTCCGGTCGGTTCCTAGAACAAACACACTAGGTCCGCCAATCGCCATACAGCAGATAGCGTAAATACTTTTTTTTCACTGTTAAACTATTCCTGTTATTGTCAATTTAATGTAATTCATTTCTTCGGCGCAATTTATCGACGTGGTTTACTCAAATTATTAACGAGGTTACAATTGAATTATAGTATTCGAATATTCATTCTTAATAATGATATGTAATTGTATTAAATATGCATAATTGTATTTAAATCTTCGTCAGAGCAAGTTGTATGTGATTTAAAGATGTGTATATTGTTCCTTACAAAATAAGACGATTTCTTCATCGGAAAATTATATCATATTAAAATATGTATACTGTAGTGTTTAAATAAAATTCGTTTTACAATAATCGGCCATGATAATGTTCGCCTAGCAAAAAAATATCAACACGTAAAATAAAAACTAATAATAATTTTTGAAAGCATATTTGCAGCAGTTCAGAGCTATTCAAACGTGATAGCATTCTCCTACAAGTAGCAATCACTTAAGTAGCAGGATGATTTTTCTTTTTCGAGTGATTTAAGATCGTTAATCACTCCGATGTTATTCGGTTTTAAGTCGAAATTACAAAGGAAAAATAAAAATCATCTGGCTTCGTCATAAATACTATCGAGTCTGATATCTTTGGCTGTTAAGAGTATTTTAAAATCGGTACAAAGTTACCCCTTTATACCTTCATCATTTTGTTAAAAGTAATAATATTATCAAGATGTTTGTGAGAAAATTAAAAAATTATGCAATTTGAAGAGTTCAAAATATGATCAGTAAAAGGCACGTCAGTTTATCTATAACGGTTTTGATCAGTCTTTGATTAAAAAAAGCAAACCCGAATAAATATCAGGTCAAAATCATGAAAAAAGAATGCAAACTCAACCCCCTGAAAATCATTCAGTACACTATTTACAATGTAATGTTAACTAGCGATATATCCAAAAGGTGTTTATCGTAATAATGAGTGCTTAATTTAAACTGAGTTACAATTTTAAAAGCTAAACTACTAAATCCGCTATTCCCACTTAGATTATTAGCGATGCCTCAAAAAATAAACAGAGCTGAGATCAACCCCTGTCATTCCATACCAATCGAACATCGATGAGTACTTACTTCAGATGTTTTTAATCTATTTCAGTTGAAGAGCCTCTAATATAGAGAAAAAGCTGGAGGTGTAGTAGTCGGACACTTCCTTCACTGCGTCTCGTTTCACATTTCCACCAAACCCGATGAAAATATCCTGCAGGAATTGTGTTTATAGATAAAGTAATTTTTTTTTTTTTAATCAATAAACTTTCAAATTGTTATACAAATACATCATTTTATTTCAAAGAAAATATCGCCGAATGACCTTACATGCCTTGACAAGTGACCGAGTGGGCGAGTGTAAACAAAATAAGGGACACCGAAACACCAGTTGACCAGTAAACTGATCATAGCAATTACATCGGGCCCTAATAAATTCTAGTATTTATAAAACGCTTCGACAACAGAGATGAAAGAGAGAACAAACCGCGGGAGGACGAGCTTCAGCATCCGTCATGCCATCTCCGATCATTATCATTCTGCATAGTAAAACAGCTCATGGTACAATCAGTAAATAAACAATTGCATTATGTTATAAAATATTTTTATATATTACATATGTGTATTTAGAATAATTATACCGTTCATCACACAACGTTGTTACATGAGTAAATATTGTGGTTATAGGATCATTGCAGTCGACAAAAGTCACGCGATAATTTATTTCCAGGAATCAAGTTGAATCTATATAGTTCTCAGCTTACTTGTTGAACTTGAAGGAATCTTTCAGATACTGAAGGGCCCTTGCTTTGCCTCCATTCTCAGAGGTGAAGTTATTCTTGTCAAATCCGGCGTATTTTCCTGAAAAATCGGCGTTCAAAGAGAAATTAAGACAAATAGAATGAATCTATGTTGAAACATCGATAATCATTTGAAAACCAACCCGAGAATTTTTACATTCTTAATTAACAAAAACTTGAATAATTCCTTTAATACCTTCTTTGTCAAAAAGTATGGTATTTGCAATGACATGGTTTGGAGCAATTCCACATTTGGCAGCTTCAGGGACGATCAGACAGTCAAACCCTCCGGAAACTAGATAGATTTCAGTTCCTCTGCTTCTCAGAGCATCTACCAGTTCCCTGAAGTAATGAAACTAATTTTAAGGAATTATTTGTTCATCAAATCAGCATATCTTGAAAAGTATTGAAAAGTATTGTACCAGAGCAGCTTACTAATTTTAACGCAACAACTTTAAAAACATATGTACGGCAAAATCAGCTGATCTGAAGTAACTTGAGTGTCGGTGAATATCGAAGACAGTTGAACTGTTGAAAACATAAACTCAGCAACTAAATGGTCTGTTTCCAGAACACTCACTGAAATCCTGGAGTAATGCCAGGGGGCTTCATTTCGATCATCTCCTGGATCTGAAATTTGATGAAATCAGCTTATTGATTGTAATATTGAAAATGATCTTTACTAGCCAATGAGCCAAAGTGTCACATGAAAGAACTGAAATGACTTAGAAGGTTTATCACTTTGGCTTCCCACGCAGAAGGTCGTGAGTTTGAACCTCGCCAGAAACTATTTGTTTCAATTTTAGACCGTATATATTTTTACTATATTTACCAATTGAGCTGTGGGTTGTAATATTTCCAGCCTCTCTGTAAGGCACTCTCTGAATGACATATTACCACCCATAGCTTTCTTTGTCAAAGCTTTCACTTCCTCATGCTTTCCTGCGTATCTCGCCATCTCATCGATACCTTCGCAGGTCAACATCGTACTGCAAAAATGACATTGTCACAGTACATGTATATCACAAAATAGAATATGAAATATGTCACATTGTCATTAAACTGTGTTGGAACTTGGAAGCATTGTAAGATCATGATTATCGTTGAAAACAATATTTTGAAAAGATGGTGGAAACCAATCATGCGTTATGTCACCAAGTTGATTCTATAACTCCTAAACACGAAAGATAGGAACTAACCTGTCGACATCAAAGCAGACACAATCACAGTTCTGAAGAACGTGGAGAACATTGTTGGGGATTGTTTTCTTGGTGATTGGTACGATTTTGTCATGAGGTGCCATAATGTAGCGACTTTCAACTAGATAATAATAAATTTGGATTATGAGCCGATCAGTATGGAGTTTGGACTAGAAACAGCTAAATATTAATTACATTTCCGGTTCGCGCTTATAGAGGAGAAACTTTTAGGATGCAAAAGCTTGCAGGAAAGTTGATTCGCTTACACTTGTGGGAGAAGCATCATGAACGGGCGTTACCAGGTAACTGGCTATCCCGTGAATGGAAACTTCGTATTTTTTTAAAAATAATAAAATAAAAAACTTTTGAACATTCATCATTTATTGATTATGATTAACTAGGTAAATATGCGTTGAATATTGAATGGTCCCGTACCTGGTACGAATACCTGCCATTGAACCCTGAGATCCAAACCTAAGGACCAGGCATGTTCCCTAATTACTCGATATTAAATCTCAAGACCTTGTGGAGTGTGTCAAACCGTGTCTTAAAATAGCTGTGCATATTGTCTAATATGAACAGAGAGCAGAACGATAGATTGCATACATGCAGAACAATAAAATTATTCCAATCACTCGTTCCTATAATCCTATATTCAGCAATAATGACTTAGATCTGTGTATGGCAGTCATATGACCATATTTCTAATTATTGATTTTTTATATTATATAATTTTTTATATATAATTCAGACAATGAGCTACAACAGTAACATATGGGACACTAACTATCCAGCAAATGTTAGCTTTACATTGTACATCAATAATAAAAGCCCATCATCTCAATCGGTAACCCTAGTAGAGCCACAAAAATATGGATGAGCCTAAAGTTATTTTTATAACCAGCCAATTATGAGATGGTCAATCATTAATGTTTGATGATGCACATGTGTTTAATTCGATTAAACGCCCTGTATTATAACTACACTCCCAGCATTGGGGTGAAAAGGTGTGATTCAAAGGAAAATGTCTGATCTTACGTTAAAAACTGAAAAATTCACAACATTTTACAGAAAACTGAGATGTTGTGTAGGAACTGGAAAAATCGGGACTTCACATGTGCTGCAAAAATGTTCGTTTCTGATTGCTGAACAGTTTTCAGATACATAAAAGTTTCCTGAAAAGTTTTTGAAACTTTCCACTAAGAATCTTTTAAACCGGACTGGAACTCGATATTAAAGCCAGATATCTGGTCAGTTCCAAATTTCGGATAACAAGATATGGTGTAATGTGTGCAGCACTCAATATGTACTGTATCTATAAGAGCATATTTCGATCACAAGTGATCAAAATGGGTTTCCATACCCATTACTCAGTTCATAGGCAAAATTCAGAAGTAAACCAATAAATTGACTAGAGGCAAACTTTATAAAAAACATTCAATCAATAATGGAACAGACAACATTACAAATATAAATATACATTATGGAAATAATTAGAAGTTTCATATAATTGTCAAGCTCTCTAGATATAATTAATAATTAGGGCAACAGGCTAGGAGTAGCATAAATGTACGAAAAAGGAATGTAGTAGAAATGTCTCAAATATTATTTAAAACCTAAATCAGCTAAAATGAAATATATTCTAATATAAATACATACAAATTAAGTATTATTCTGTCTAACCCAAACTCCGTCATTATCCATCTTATAAATCATTGGTTCTTTATTTGGTCCAAACACCATGTTGCTATCCTTTGTTGCTATAAAAAGAAAGAAATTTCTCATATCTTGACAAAAGTAATGAGGTTCACAGTGCGGTGACGTGGAGCACCTTGACAAAAGAAAGTTATCTGGAGCTGAAGCTGCTCCTTGGTATCTGGGGTCCATTTCAAATTCAACATACGGAATTTCAATAAGGCATGTTTCTCTATCAAATATGTTGAAGTCCTGTGCAGAGTCCTGTCGAAGAAGACTTCTCAATTCTAATTCAGGTCCCCTGTAGTCAAAGATAACATTATGAAGTGATCTATCTTCCAGTCTAAAGGCAACGTCAGTCAATATTGGGAAAGATAGCTCATCACTGATTTTCGTGTTTAAATCTAATGTGCACCAGAGTTGAATGTTGAAATGTTTTTCAGACAGGTAGAAATATTCTAATAGACAAGAAGATATGGAATAAGAAGTCATTTTCTCCTCACTGAATCCACCAACAACATACAAAGACAATTCATGACCCATTCCACTAATCATGTTCTCAATTGTACTATCAACTGAGTTAGGGCTGTCTAAATGGGCTAAGGCAACTGAATCATTATCATGAATTACTACAATGTGGCATGTGGTGGCACCTGCTGTTCCAATCCATGTAATTTGGTCTGCTTTAGAAAAACTAACAGCACTATATTCACCCTGGCATACAAAGAGGAATGTTTACATATTCTTTTCTGTGTCATCTCATTTAGAAATGTGTCAACCTTTTGTTTAATAACACTGTTTGCGAGGAGTTCTTGCAGTAGTCTTTGTGGAGATGGATTAATTACTTCCTTTGCAAGCACTTCATTATCGATATTAACCACCATAACCTCTGTTAAGTTTCCTCTACTGGCTGATAAGAAAATATAATAAATTTAAATAAGAACAAACGTGTAATAAAAATACATATCAGATCACAAATCATTTAATGTTCATTTCGAATACAAAGTACTCTAAATTTGTTATTGACACTAGTTTTTTAATACTTTCAACACTACTATATAACAAATAATTTGAGGTATGGCACGTGTTGAAAGTATGTCGTGGCAATAAGTTGAAAAGCGATACACACACAAGCGATACACAGTTACTAGAGGAGTGTTCTATCCTTGATAGCTCTCTTCCCCTTCAAACCAAAACTATCAAAGGGTATCTGACCCATAAGTCAGAACTCTTCCGGTGGGTTGTCTTTATTGTTTTCTGTTGGAGTCTCGACTGTCTTACAAGTTTACAATCCTTACACAGCAACCCCTGACCTACTAAACTTAGCTACGCCTGATTCTCCTAAATCATCTATAACTTTCTCTCCCCAGAACACAGAGGGTACAAGGACCTACATAGCTGCTCCCAACATCATACAAAATGATTGTTGTAACCACTGTCAGGAGGGAGTTAATCCTGACTACAAAGTTCAGTGTTATGACTGTAAAAACTATTTCCATGCGGTAGGCTGCACAGATGATTCCTATTGTGTTAGTGCCCCATCTAGCTTCACTTCCCATTTGGGACCAGCTGTTTCTAACACCAAGTCCTATGAGAAAAGATTTGGCAGATTCTTGTTCTTTTGTAACCATTGTATTACAGTTAAAGAGGAGATGACAGAGCAAAGCACAGGGGGAGCTGCTAATGTTTACGTTGACAGAAAGATTGAGGAGTTAAAGCAGAATTTTGCTGAAGAACTGTCCGGTGTAAAAGAGATGCTTAAGGAAATCTTGCCAAGTAAGCAAAACAATGCTCTAGCAAAACCTCCAATGACTCCCTGCAACCCATGGGATGATTCTCAGAGGACTGAGAAACTTCGCAGCATGATTGTAATTAAGAATGATCAGAGTGGCAAACCAATTGATAAAAGTATGTTGGAAGAAAGCTGCATCAAGAATAAGATTAGTATTGTTAACACAATGAAGCTCAAATCTAATGATACTGCCGTTATTCTTAACTCTAGGTCTGAGGCAGAAACATTGCGTGAGAAGCTTAGCAAAGCTTCCCCCCAACATAGTACATCAACCGTAGCCACAAAGTTACCAAGAATAACAGTTGTTGGTCTTGAGCGTGATTACTTGAAGGAGGAAATAAAGGAAATGATAGTTAGTCAAAACCATGGAATAGATCTGCTCATCAATGATCCAGGTACCAGTATAGAAGACAAGAAAATTGATGTAGTAGCTATAGTACCCCTAAAGAATGACCAGAACTCCTTCAAAGCCATTGTTCGTGTCAGTAATCTTGTACGATCTGCAATTGCTAAACAAGGTGATAAGCTCTTTATTGGAACTCAGAGAGTTTGCAAAGTCTATGATAGCTTCTTTGTCCTCAGATGTTTTAACTGTCAATCATTTGGTCACCATAGCAAAAGTCACCAAGGTCATTGCAAAAGTGAACATGTCTGTGGCTTTTGTGCAGGAGCACATGAAACACGGACATGTGATCGCTCCGCTCCATTGTGTTGTTCAAACTGCAAGAAAGCTGGTAAGCATGGCAATGAGCTTCTACATGCAGCCTATGATCCTGTTTTGTGCCCCATATTCAAAGATTTGCAGGAGAAAGTTAAAAAGACCACCCCTTTTTACCAAAGCCACAACACGGACAGAAATCACTGAGCTGTCTGAAATTCTTCCTTTTCAATCCATGGTCACTTGTTAACAAAGTAAACGATATTATGTGCAACTTATCAGACAAAAGCATTGATATTGCTGCATTCTGTGAAACTTGGCTAACAGATGTTAACTGCCCCACCACTGCAATTATTAAGTCTTACGGTTACAGAATCATACATAATTTCAGGAAAGACAAAAAAGGTGGTGGAACTGCTTTGTTGTTTAGGGGAGAATACTCAATGTCTCAGTTCCAATGCTCTGCTACTTTCTCTACATTTGAGTACACAGCTGCATCAATCAAAACAGCAACAGGCACTAAGGTCATGTTTGTCTCTTTGTATCGACCTGGTTATCTCTCCTCTATCTTTCATCAGGAACTTGATTTACTTCTGTCAGCCATCACCATGAAGTGTGATTGTCTCGTCATTGCTGGGGACTTGAACATTCATTTTGAGAATAAGAATGACAAGCTTGTTAGGAAGACGCTTGACTTATTTCAGTCTTACGGATTTAATCATCATGTTAATGAACCAACCCATGTTGCTGGTGGATCACTAGACCAAATCTTCTGCTTCTCTATCAAGAATCAGCTTCAATGCAAGGTTTTGGTTGATAGTGTGAATAGGCATGGATCAGATCATTTTCCAGTCTATTGTGACTTCTCTTTGGAATTCGAAAAGAAATATTTTAAAGATATCACTTACAGAAATTTGAAGACTGTGGATGATGACCAATTTACCAGTGATCTCTTCGATATAGTAAACTTGATTGATCTTGGGAAAATTGGAACTACTGATATGAGTGCATCTGTTGCCAACTTGAACGACTTGTGTGCTGAACTCCTAGATGAGCATGCTCCAATAGTCTCCAAGAAGTTATCTGTTATTGATTCTGCACCTTGGTTTGATAATGAATACAGGGACTACAGAAAGCTGAGAAGAAAAGCCGAGGCAAAAACTCGTAAACCAACAGCAACGCTTGAAGATAAAATCATGTTTAGAGACATCAGCTCAGAATGTTCTAAAATGGCTGATCTGAAGAAGAAGGAGTACTTTAAGAATATGGTAGAAAACTCTAAAGGCAACCCAAGAACTTTGTGGCAGCTGGTCAATAGAAATTTAGACCGTAAACAATCTAATCCTCTGCCAGATTACACAGATGATCTTCCAAAGCTAGCAGCAGACTTTAACGCCTACTTTACATCTAAGATTGATAACATTAGGAAAGATATGGATCATGATCGGTTTACTCTTCCATCAGACTCTTCTGCTGAAGCTCCCGAATCCTACCACTGGTCTACCTTTGAACCTGTCACATTAGATGAGCTAAAGGAAATCATTGACGAGTTTGGTATCAAATGTTCACCTTCTGACATCTTACCTACTACACTGCTTAAAGAGAACATCAGCATTCTGCTACCATTACTTCTACAGATTGTTAATGCATCCTTATCTCAAGGTTCAATGGACGGAGTCAAACTTGCTGATATTGTTCCCCTCCTGAAAAGTAACTCTCTTGATCCTAATGTCTTGAAAAACTTTCGCCCTGTCTCAAACCTCACTTTCCTTGGGAAGCTAATCGAGAGAGTGGTGTTAAAGCGCCTGCATACAAGAAGACCTTCAGCACAGAAACATTATTGATCAGAATATGGAATGATCTTCTAGTTGCATCAGATGAAAAGAGTGCTACAGTTGTCATGATGCTTGACCTATCGGCGGCGTTTGATACTGTAGACCATGATGTCTTACTGAACATTCTCATGAAGGAGATAGGACTAAGGGGCACTGTGTTAAAATGGTTTACTAGCTTTCTAAAAGGTCGTGCTCAGAGAATTCGACTTGGTTCTACTCTCTCTGAAGAAATAGTTATTAAGTTTGGTGTTCCTCAGGGCTCAGTTCTGGGACCTGTTCTGTTTAACCTTTATATCAGATCCATCTATAGATTTGTACAAGGAATGGACTTCACAATTTATGGGTATGCAGATGACCACCAGATCTTAAAGAGATTTAAACCCATCAACCAGTGCGAAACGTTACTCTCTAAGCTCAGGGGATGCTTTGCATCTATTAGAGCTTGGATGAAAAAATACTTTCTAGCAATGAATGACAGTAAAACACAGATAATGGTTTTTGGTCCTATGTCCGTCCTACGAGAGATCAATATAAAGGGAGTGAATTTTGGGAGTGACACAACTATTCGATTTGTGAGCACAGTTAAGAATCTTGGGATACATATGGACTCTGGGCTTACTATGAGCAACCATGTTGTTGAGTTGAAGAAGAAATGTTTCCTAACACTACGCAACCTCACTAAGATAAGGTTTCTGCTGACTACAAAACAGCTTAAGACAATTGTTAATAGCCTCGTTGTTTCTTGTTTGGACTACTGTAACGCCATGTTTTACGGCATCTCCAAGTACCTCATACATCAACTACAGCTTATTCAAAATGCCTGTGCAAAAGCAGTAACTGGAAAATATAAATTTGATCACCTAGGCGACGATCTTGATAAATTGCACTGGCTTAATATACCTAAAAGAGTGATTTTTAAAATATGTCTCCTATCTTTTAAGGCTATTAATGGAATAGCGCCACTGTACCTTCAAGATATGTTTAAGTATGCTCACCATGGACACACTGTTAGGCTCATAGTCCCTTATCGTTCAACCAAGGGTTTTGGTGATCGTAGTTTTAGTGTGGTTGGTCCACGAGTTTTTAATGCACTACCAGACTCAGTTAAACAATGTTATTCTGTTGAGGCGTTTAAGTCCGCACTGAAGACTTATTTGTTTACTTTATCTGACACTGAGGTAGCAAAAATGTTTTATTAATAATTTTAACCCTCTCTTTGACTTATCTAAATTATATTAGCTTTTTGGAAGTTTTATGAACGAATTTATACATAGAACTTTATTTTGCTTTTGATATATAGTTTTAAAAGTATTTTTGTAAACTAGTTGTAGTGACACTGCTGAGTAAAAGTGTACGCTTAATAGTGGTGTTTTTAAATTTCAATTTTAATTTAATTAATTTAGTATAGCACAACTCGTATAGCACATGGCAGGCGCTTTTGGTTATTTTCCAGCTGTTCTCACCATAATCTCCTACCCATCATGTGCAGGGATATCCTAGGCAAATCCAAATTTCAAACTTTAACCAAACATCTCATAAAGGTTCTTCGACCAGTGTGTACATGTCCAGGTAACACAAAGCTACTGTTATAAAATAGAACTGTTGAAGGTGTAAGCACCAAGTCAGAAAATAGATATGAAAAAGAAACAAAGAAGGGACGCCTGGAGTATTTTAACGGATCACGGTATCAGTTCGCTCCTACTAAATCGCTCGCCCAAATTTTAAGAACATTCTTGAGAAAAGGCCCTTTAGGTATGAAATTGATCTGAATCGGTGTATTTTTGGACGCT